GAAGAACTCTACCCTGAGTTGTTTCTGACTCTGAATTGTGAACTGTTACTTCCCTGATAAACCCCATAATCATGAATATTGTGAGTTCCGTGTGACCACTGCAATGGATTATCAAACCCAGCAGAGTAGTATTGTGGGAGCGACGGTTCAGAATTTGTAAAAAGGTTGGTACGTGGTGGCATGTCTGACCTCTGCCTCATAGAAATCAGCCTTGGGCTGCTGATGCTGATGGTGATTCTCTCTCCTCCTCATGAAGTCAGAGGAAGTCAGATGCTGCCATCCCCACATCCTTTTACAGAAGGTAATGGACTCACAAAACACACCGTTTTACCATACTATTTACTTTCCAAAGTTTTTTCTTTCCTCACCTATTTTTTATTTCTATCATCTCACGTAAGACTATGCCAGACCAAATATACACTACATTTAGTGTTTAATGAACAAAAATATCAAACCAAACCAAACCAAAAAATGATGAGGGTTCAGAAGCTATGGAAGATATGGGATTTTGGCCTAGATAGCATAAATTTATAAAGTGGTAACAGTTCCTGGTAGTGAGAGAAGAAATATCCTTCAGTGATGTAACAAAATACTGGCTTAATGAGAACACAAGCCTAAATTACTAACCCAATGAACACTGTAACTAAGAATGCTTGGAAAACATTTTGAAATAGATTTGAGGAAAATAAAATAATTTCAGACAAAGAGAACAGACTTCTTCCCCAGACTGATTTGATCTTAAAGAATATCACTAGCCTTATTGAATAAGCAAAACCTTAACCAGATTAAAGAGAGATCTGGATATTAAAGGCAGAGTTGACATTTTGGAAGGTCAGGGTTACATGTGAGCTCATGACAAGCCAATGAAACCAGCCTATTTTACATTTTGTTTTCACATTTGTTCTTCTTCCAGTGGGATTAAAATCTACATTGCTCTTTGGGGAAAACTGCTTTTTAACTTCCAACTTAAATGATGAGGCAATGATGGACTAAAAAAATACCACTGCTTATGCACAATGCAGGAACTCTGGTGGCACAGTGGGTAAAGCATTCTGCTGCTAACCAAAAGGTCAGCAGTTTGAACTCACCAGCCACCCTGGGAGAGAAAGATGAGGCAGTTTGCTTCCATAAAGATCTGTAGCCTTGGAAACTCTATGAGGCAGTTCTACTCTGTCCTATAGGGTTGCTATGAGTCAAAAATCAATGTGATGGTGGTTTTTTATGTAATACAGAAGTGCTCATTCCCCAAGTCAGAGAAAATGCTCTAGAAGACACTATCACTTCCCCATGACTCTCCTTTAAAGGTGAATGAGGGAGAAGTAACACAAATTTTTGTTTAACACTTAAGTTTTATAAGCCTGGCATTTAATTTCTTTACTGGTAATTTCATAATATAGACTTAACATAGTAGAATGTAGCTGTACAACTTGTATGTGTGTATGTGCCTTACATAACTGACTAGATTATAACTCAAGGAGACAAGAAATTGTCTTACTCTTATTTTGTACCAAATGTAAAGGAACTTATGGTAGACATAAGGATCAATAAATATAAAATGATGATTCAAGAGGTAAAGCAATGTAAATTTACTCAAGAGACAAAGTAAATAGTAGCTGAGATTTAGTAGTTAAAACGGAATCTAAAGGCATCCTTGCATAGTGCCAACGGTTAATGCTCTGAAGAAGGGCCTGGTGCCGTGCTTCTGGAAAATCAGCCCCCGGGAACCCTACGGAGCCCAGTTCTACTCTGACACACGGGCAGCACGAGTCGGAGCCGACTAGATGGCACTGGTGAAAATCTCATTCCAATTCTAGACAGAATCAGCATGCCAAAGTGGTAATTACAATGGTTTGGAATCATGAGTCTTAAGGGCAACTCATTGTGTGAGGAGGGACAAGCCCCTTAAACTCCCCAAGTTTTATGTTTGTTGTCTGCAAAATGAAAGAGAAGAATGAGACTATAGTACTTAATCAATGGCTTCATCAAATGCTCCCCTCCTTCTGTGGAATTTGTTAAAAATATGTAACATATCCAAGCTTCACTCCCAGACACTCCTTCAGTGATCTCGTGTAGTACTTAACTGTAGTTTAAGAAGACGATTCTGATTGAGAGTGATCATGTTAGACGGCTCTTAGGACCCTTTATTTCTAACATTCAAGAATAACAAGCATGCACACAACAGAAAAAGGAATTATGAAGAACGTGTCTTAAGATTGGTCGGAATAAAAAGGAACTGCCTTAAGCTAATTTTTTTGCAAATATCATCCCATTTATAGGCAATTCATTAGGAAAACTTATTTTAAATAAAAAGCCATCTAAAATGACATCCAGATCTTTTTTTAGGAAAAGAAAATACTGCAATGCAAAAGTAAGACCTAAGTTTTGTAAGAGCAGTTTTCATTGTTTAGTAAAGAGCTAAAAGCGTTGCTACTGATACCACCAACTTTCAAACAGACAAAATTTATGTTTGCCTCACATTTAATAAGAAATTAATTTTTAACAGATTCAAAGCTGCAGTGAGGCCAAAAAGCCATTCAGTCCGACACCCTCTCTTTACGAAGCTTTCTAGTACATCAAATTAAAAGATAAAGTATCAAGCAATCCTTTGTCACCCCATGTTGTTGTTGTTATATGCCGTCAAGTCGGCCCCGACTCATAGCGACCCCTCCTTGGGTTTCCGAGGCAGTATCACTACGGAAGTAGGATTGCCCAACCTTCCTTCCGAGGAGTGGCTGGTGGGTTTGAACCGCCAGCCGTCTGGTTAGCAGGCAAGTGTCTTAGCCACTATGCTACCAGAGCCATACCGCTAATCAAAGAAAGCTGACGAAGAGTAAAATTAACATTTAAAACCCCTAGTCAATGAACAGTAGTGAAGTGTTCTTACATGCCTATAAAATCTCTGTGAACTCTGGTAGCATAGTGCCCAAGGCACTTGACTGCTAACCAGAAGGCTGGCGGTTCAAACCTACCAGCCACTCCTTGGAAGGAAGATGGTTGACTCAACAGCACATAACAACAACAAATAAAAGCTGTAGACTCTTTGTAAGATCTAACAGTTACTAATTTTGATACTATATCATAGCTGAAACTGTTATATACTCATTAACCGTTTAAAAACTGTTTTGAGAACTCTTTTAATTTCTGAAAACAAGCTTCTCTGCTCCAGATATAAATGCAGTGTGATAATCACATTACTACCTTTTGTTTCTCAAAAACAAAAGGCCCAACAACTTGCAATTAAGTTGAATACAATGAAAATCAACATTAAGATGCTTACCTTTTGAAAGCAAATAATGATAAAGTAGACATTCTGAATATAAAGAACAGTCATCTACTTAATAAAATATTTTCTATTAAAGAACTGAATTATTCACTCATTTCAACCACAAAGTCTAACAGCATATGACTCAGGTATAACTTTTACATTTGAATACAAGTATCTGATGATAGAAATCCACAACTCAAGATATGGCAGAAAACTACTGTTTTCCATTTCATTTCCCTTATGCAATTTCCGATTCCTACACCTTGTTAAGGCATAGTGATCCCTGAAGTAATTCTAAAGCATGAGCCAATAAGGAGAAGAAAATTCTAGTTTAAAAGAAAAGTCTTTTCTTTTAAGGAGGTCATAACAACTGCAGAGCTCAATATCACTCAATATCCAGTTTGAAGACAGGATCATTTTTTTAAAAAACAACAAAAAAAATTCAATTCATTTATGAGATGTTAGATTATAATCCTACTGCACTGATCTATCAGTTTAAAGTGGATAATGATGAGAAACCAAATATTTATAGCTTGAAATTTAAAAAGAAATAATTAGGTTTCAGAAAGATGTCTATAAACGTGGCGTAATTGAGTACAGGAAAATGAAGCTAGAGAACAAGCTTTAGTATCACCAAGTATTTTGATTTTACAAACATCAGGCCAGAAAACAGAAATAGTCGTCAGTCAGTCTTTCTGAGACAAAAAATATTAACTAAATGCCAACCACCAACAATAGCATCCATCATCTTTGAGCATATGAAAAAAAAAAAAAAATCATCAGAAAGGATCAAACATCATTTCAACCAGTCTATGGGCAATTACAGGAGCTCTGGTAGCGTAGTGCCTAAGGTACTTGACTGCTAAGCAGAAGGCTGGCGGTTCAAACCCACCAGCCACTCTTTGGAAGGAAGGTTGGGCAATCTACTTTCGTAGTGATACCACCTCGGAAGCCCAAGGAGGAGTTGCTGAGTCAGGTCCGACTCGACGACACGTAACAACAACATGGGTAATTACATCGCAAACATGAAAAACAGCTTTCCGAAATATTTTGCTTAACTGTTTTTAGTCTTTATCACTACCATTCAGTTCTTCTCTGCTACTAACCACTTCACAACTTAATACAAAAGTTCTTTACACACTTAAGTTTCTAAAAACCACAATATAAATGTTGAGTGAGATATAATACCTTGCCATTTCACTATGCTGTTCTTGATTTGTCCTGGCAAAAGGCAGTACCAGCATCCTCCCCAAGAGTCAGAATTACTATAATAATCTTAACTATTGATAATTTTGCTTTTATACTTATGCCTCAAAAGCACACAAAATAAGTAAATCATTATCCATTTTGGGCAAGCAATCCACACATAAAATTTTAAGAAATAATGGAAAATAAAGTTTAGCCAGAAGAAATTGTCATGAAAATATCAATTGTTTAAATGAAGAGATTATGATTTTCATATATAATTCAATGAGGAAAACTGAGGCAGTCCATAGGGAGTATCAAACTAGTAAGAGTATGGAGTTGGAGCTTTAAAGTGGTGCTACACCCTAATACGAAGCAGTTTTGTAGTACCAACTTCTAGTTATCTAAGTGATTTCACACCTGGAAATAATTTATCATAAAAAATTACCAACTTGGGTTACCCTGTGCACTTACAGTCCATTTCTCTCACTCCTTTCATCAATTTTTTTTAAAGCATTAAAACTTTTAAGTAGAAACCAAGCTTTCAAATCAGTTTTTCACAACAAAATTTATTAGAAGAATAGTGGTTTTGAAAAGTCTAGCATCCAGTGAGAACTACCATACACAACATTACAGCTGGGAATGTTTGTCCAAAATGTCATGGTCAAATAATACAATGGAACCATTAAATTTTACACATGCACGAAAGAACTAGAGCTTCTGACAAACAATGCAAAAAAAAGGGACCACATGGATTAAAGTTTTAAGTACTCATCACATACATTAAGACACAGCTTATTTTAGTCCAGTCAAAAATCAGAACTGCATTAAAAAATTTAATGTAGTGCAATCAAACAAAAAAACTTAATTTGTGATCATAAGTGCTCTACTACATAAACATTGATCATAGCAAGGAACAAAAAGTTCAAATCACACAGTACAAAAAAATCTGTAAATAAATATAAACTACAGTACAAGAGAAATATTAAATTATACAATTCCGTCAAACTGTAAACAGTATATTGAAATGAGGTCCATAAGAGTAAAGGGGGTTCCTGTTTTGTTGCATGACATGCGAACTTCTAGAAATCTGAAAAATGCCATTTTCCATATCGTCAAAGGCTATGGGCTTTATATATGGAGAGAATTCCTTTTAGATGTAAGATATCAAATATTAAAGCAGAGGACTAATCTGCACTGTTAACCACAGATAGTACTGCAGAAAACAAAAGGAGTTTTTAAGAATAAAGACCTCGTGTAGACAAGTCTTAACATTAACAAACGCAAAGATCTAAAACACTGGAATCAGAACTTCACATCAGAAGAAAATTTGCCCGTGAGGACTTCAAGGCTCCCAATTACACTGACAAAAATTGTCTGCTGTTGACAAGCAGACCTAGACCTCTGCTAATTTTTGACATTTTACATATACTCATGTTACAACACCAACTTTGGCAGAATCACTACTAATAAACTCCAAGCACTCCTGGCCCAATGGTTCCATCACAGTGGCCAGTGCACAGAATTCTCTAAAGACATTGCATAAACTAGAATGTAGAGGTCAGATGCCCAAGGACCAGTGCTTGAATTTAGTAGTAGTTATGGTGAAGAAGTAAGAACCATATCAAGGAGGGACTGCATCTGTTACAGTCTACAGAAGCAGCAAGGAATGTTGTTTCAATTGTGCTGGCTATTAGTGGCATTTAAAAATATATACTTTAACCTTGTGTGTATGTGGTGTGCTGGCTATTCGTTTATGCACTTTTTTTTTTTTTTTTAAATACACTGTTAACAGGAACCCCCATATTATCTGCTCAGTAGTAATAACTGAATATATAGAATGCCACTATAAGAGTGTGAGGCACCGTGTGCTGGAGAGTTATATGCAGCTTTAAAATCTGTTTGGCTGAGTTATACCTGGATACCTGAACTGAGTTTTTAAGTTGACATTCATCAAGGATGTGCTACCAGCACGTCAAAATAAAAGCAAAACAGAAAAATACAAGTCACTGTTAGGTTTAAGAATAGCATCAAAGTACCTGAATTGAGTGAGAATAGTGTGTAAACTGTCCCTGAGGGTTTTTAAACAGTGTGTATAAGTTGGTTTCCTAAGAACATTAGTTTTATTTAACAGTGTGGACTGATAAAATACCAATGTCTGACAATTTAAAGTGGAGGTTATAAAGAATTATACGCAAACACTCCAAATGTGTATTTTATACATTTCTTCTCAAGGCAGCAATAAGCTGCTGTAAAGTGTACATCCCATCAGAACAAGCAACATGTGGGAGTCAGATAAAGGTTTCTCAATCTGGTTTTCTGACAGCACAGCATATCAATATCCAATGACTATATCTTTCCTAGATCAGAATGTAACTAATTTCGACTAGCAATATAGGATTAGACTTTTAATCAAACACTTTGCTATTACATACTAAAATTCCTTAAACTTACTAATGCTGGTATACTAATCTAGTTAATTATCCCCCGTCATTTTAGAAATATACCCTTCCACAACTTAAAAACATTAAGATCCATTTTCAGTCCTTTGATGTAAAAAGCATGTCAGTGAATTAATATTAAAAATTTACACAGTAAAAAGGCTTGAATTTCAGCCAAAGATTCTAAATACTGCTCATTCCCTGAAGACTTAAAGGGAGAGAGAATCCCTACCCATTTTTCCTAGCGGTTTATTTTTCTAAAAATGGTCTGATACAATTTTTCGTTTTGGGAACTTTCTCCCTCACTTCCTCTCAAATTCCAATTCTTAAGCCTGAAATGCTTAATGAAATGGGGACAAAGAGGCAATCACTCGGAATTGTTTAAAAGGTACAAAATGTCATTTTTTTTTTTTTAAATAAGAATTATATAAATGTGATCTGACCCCATATTGTGTATGTAGTATGTTTTATATTTTTAAATAATCAGTCTAAAATTTACAGTACCTAAGACTCTGAAGATAAATTAAGACTTTAGTGTTGTAACAGAAAAAGTGCTGAATTATCCCTTTTCTAGTACTTTAAATGTTTTAGACAAGCGCGTTCCTGGTGACAGGAAAGTTTACTGTATACCCTTCCACCAAGCAGGAAAAAAAGTCAACTGGATGAAAGAAATGACTTTTAGGAGTGTAGCACCGCATATTTACCAAACTTAAATCAGAGTTGTTTCATTCATTTGGAGGGGGCAAATATATTCTAGACTGAAGTTCTATTTGGCTATTGACGGTTAAAAATCCCTGCTCTACTGTGTCCTGTGTCCAGCTACCCCACTTTCCCACCCCCAGTCCCCTCACACACTATCCACTGAGAATCTAATCTCTAAAGAGATTATTTTAAAATTTATGTTTTCAGGACATACCTGAGAAAGGGTGCAATTATGCAGAACAAGGACCCCAAGACTGCACTAATACTGGTTAAAAGTTCATAAATTCTTTCCCAAGACAAATCTAAAAAGTCTAAGAGGTATGGATCTTCAAATATGTCTTACTGCTTTAGATTTTTTTGGTATGTGTGTAGGGTCATTTCCAGTGTTGAAAAGATGAAAAGATCATCTTGAGCCTGTTCAATGACAGTTCAAGACATGGTAAAAAGTTCACTTCCACATTCAAACAATAAAGATTAAATATTATGATTAAAATATTTGCTACATCCAATAAATCTATGATTAACTAAAAGTGCTTGCTTTTCAGCTTTTATTAATACAGCTCTAAAAGAACCGGAAACCTTAAAATTACCCCCCAAATAGTTGCAAGTTTAATTAATAATTTATTGTTTGTCAAATCTACATCACTTAGCCTTGATTTCCATTTTCAAACAATCTAAAGGATTTTTCTGGCAATCAAATGAAGATGGCCCACCTTTACCACATGATCTATCTCGTGACTAGTATTTTAGGCCAGAATCTGTAGCCTCTTCTCAAAAGCCTACATACTTTCCCAACTTTGTTCCCATTCCCATCCCCCAAACTCTTTTATAACACTTAGGGCACACAGCTACAGTGTTATGCTACAGGGCTGATGTCTGCTTCTGTAAGAGGCTGCTTAATGCAAGGTTATCTGGGGACGGGAGACAAAGGGGACACAGAAAGTTCCCCCCCTTTCCCTTCACTCGCCATGTCCGCAAATCCTACTCAAGTCTCAAGGACAGAATGAAATCTAAAATAAACTAAGAAGAAAGAGTCTGGAGGTCTACAGTCCTTGTACCACAATTACACCTCTTCCTTTTCAGTAGAATTAGAAAGCCATTAGTTTTCTTAAAAATCCTGGTATAGTTTTATAAAATCCTAAGAGGGCTGCTCAGCTAAAGCCATCAGGTTTTTAACGATACTGGTCTGACCACAGTATCAATGAAGACCTAATTCTAATGAAAAAGTAAAAAGGAAAATGATCTTTGATATGTTTATGAGGCCAAAATTTAACATGTAATTTTAAATATCTTCTATAAAACATGAAATAGGGCAATTCAGTCTATTGTCATATGCTATCACCAATGATAGCAACTTGAATATACAGAAAAAGAGTAGTTCAATATGAAATCGACCTCCTGCATTTAATTAGGGAAAGAAGAATTACAAAAGCAAAAGCAGTTTCCAAATTAAATCTATAGGGATAACAGCTATTAAATAAATGATACCAGACTATAATATACCCACTGTAAAACCTATTCAAAATAACTTGATGTTCTGACACTGAGCTAAGATTCATTAATTTGTTTTATAAAAATAACTAACTGAATCTAAGCCTCACTATATTATGGGGCAATAAAATATGTAAGAGAATCCCAAAGGCTTAGAACCAGGCCTGGCACCATGTGCTTACTTGGGGTAGAGGAAGAACATACAGCTCAGAAGCAACCCGCAGGGTGCTACGTACTGCTTAATGACAGAAGGTAGTTATGATACGGGCCTTTACAGGTAGTCATTTTTTTCTTCTAATTTAGAGTTCTCTCCAGAAGATTAGGAACTAAACTTCTCATTGTGCCTTATTATTTTACTATCTGATCCCATATAGCTCATGTTACAGCTCAGGTAAAATGTTGGGGAATGGAAATGCCAATTGGTTGAGGTAATGGTTTATATAAGATAACCAGAGTTCTAAAAGCACTTCAATATTGTAAAGTAAAAGTGTACCAAATAAAGCTAATACACACTTCACACTTGTTGAGCTTGCTCACCAGAACTGAACAGTAATTAACTTCACATTAGGACCCCTATTATCACACAAAGCCTTACTCATATTCATGATCTGCTGCAGCAAGTGTATCAAGCAACATCTAAACTTCAGAGTAACAACAAACTTAATATCAAAAAGTATTATACACAAATTTTTCCTGAAAGAGAACTTGTCCTTCATAGCATTTGGGGAACAGAAAAAAGTATACAGCTCATCACCAAGTCCAGAGTCACTTTAAAACCTACTGAACAAAGTAATAGACTACCTTACTGTCAAGCTTGATGACTGCACTGTCTCAAAAATGAGAAGGCTAATGATAAAAACACTAAGATACTCTTCCACAGAATTTAATGTTTGTGAATTCATAGTGCCACAGGTTATTTATTCTGTAACATCAATGTTCTCTCATAAAAATGCAGGAATTGATTTTTAAATATATTATCTCCTATCATTAGTTGGTGTAATGTCATCATCTGTCTATTGGAAAATGTGAGAAAAAGAGGCTTTTGTGACAAAGACAGTTGTGAACTATACTTTCCCACACCATAGAAATGGTCAGTGGTTTTTTTTGGCCATGCAAAACTCTGATTAGCAGAAATTAAGCATGCTAATAGACCAATCTCTACCACACATTTAGGATGTTCCCAAACTAGAATATCTACACTGAAAGTGCCAATACAGAATAATGGCAAATCAAGAAACAAATCAAATATTAAGGGATCACTGCGGCACCAAGACTGACAACCAGCCATGTGATGAGCCACCTCCGAGAAATACATGGTGTAATGGAACCCAGAACACAAAATTTAACATTAAAAGTGCACCTGAATATTACAAACTAACTTTACAAAACCTACAATAAGGTAAAATATAAATCTTTTGAAATATTCAGCAGCTTATTTTTTTAAGTTTATTTATTTACTTATTTATTTTGAGAGGCTCATGAAATTTAAAAGGGACCACTATCTAATTTCAACCATGCTTCACAAAACAATAATGGCTATTTTATATTGCAGTTACCAGTGTAATGCAATTAGTGCTTTAAAATAATCTACACTGAAAAAAGAAAAAAAGACAGAGAGAGAGAGAGACCTTTGGAGGATATACGCTTATTCAAAAGCTTCTTGGAAAAGAAAGTTTACCTGAATATCAAGTCATGACTGATCTCAAGTGTAATGTTTAAAAGCTTCACAGACATGAATATTACAATCTTCAGGTCTCAGGACTTTAATCTGAGAGAGTTTAGAGTTTGGTTTGTTTTTTAAATACACTTTCTAACCAAAACAAATAATAAAAAGTACTCAAATTTTCACTATTTACAACTCTCAGCCTACAATCTGAAATGACACAATACAAGTTCTCTTATTTAAACTGCAGCATTAAAGGGTAGGCACACCATTCTTCTGCTGCTCGATTGTCATCCACTGAAACACACATAGAAAATATTTATGTTAGTAAAATGATCACTCCATGTACACTACAATGACAAAATTTACATAACTCAACTCATACATCACTTATATAGACTACCACATAGGATTAAACCTCTCTGAACAGTAAAACTCTACAAAAGTTGAATTTTAGGGCCAGATTTTAAAATGGGCCTTTAATGATGTCTTTTTGAGAGGGGGATAATAAAAGCAAGCACAAATTAATTGTTCAAAGAACCTTTTTGCAGCAATCGTGGGCTAATGAATACCCCAAACATCATGCAAAAAGACACCATGGCTACAATTAGTTGTGTGCCGACATCTTAAGTGTGGAGCAAAGTCATTTCTTCATAAGCTTAACCCTTTGCTTTCAGCAAACTTTCTACAACTTCCTTCAACTGCAGATGAAAATCATACATTTCATAATGTGTTTTTATTGCAACTTCCAGCTAGGCTGGAAAATATTGCAGAGTCACATATACTGCTAATGAACCCAAACTGCTTTTTCTGTTGTGAAGACTAGAAAGCTAAGAGGAAACAGGCTCAGTCATCCACTCATTAAACTGCTACACAAAATAACCAAACCAAAAGAAGAACTCAAGCCCAGGCTTTATCAAGAATGAGCAGTGCATAAATTTTAATAACAGCAATGGTGTGCCTAACCTTTGAACACATAGGCTGCTGGGGAAAAGTATCCTTAACCTACCTAAACCGCTCCAAAGTTTCCAGGCAAAAATTTATGCCTTGGGAATATCTGGACCTACTTTTCCTTTAACTATTAGTAGTCATCTGAGATCATCAACCTCAATTTAATCAATGCTCTGTTTTGATTTTATTTTACAAAATACTCCAATGATATTTTTTTCTTTTCTTTCCTAAGCATTTAGAAAACAAGAATGGCCTGACCATCTTTCCCAGCAGATTAGAGGGTGCATGTCATGTGGATTTTGTTTTGCACAAATAGTAATTTTAATTTGGTCACAATGCAAAATTGAATCCCATGGGCTTTACTTATCAGTTATTCTTGAAAAAACTGTAGAAAATAAACTTTTCAAACATAATTACTCTAACTGTAAAAGCCTATCTCAAAAAAAAAAAAAAAGTTTAGATGTTCTTCAAGGAGTGCTTGTACAAATATAATCTGAAAGGTCATTAACTGTGCTAAACAACCATGAAAATCAGGTAAGTATCAGAAAGAGTTAAGAAGGGGATATTATGCAGGATGCCAAAAAGAAAAAAAAGAGAAAGAAAAAACCCATCAAATTAACAAAATTAAAACAAAAACAAAACCCCACGCATGTACTAGTATTTGGATTAATTAAAAAAGAAACTCCAATAAACTTGATTCCTGATTGAATTGTTGTTAGAAACGACAGGCAACCTACATCATATTAGGTTACTTTGGGGTTATGTTTTTTTCTCTCAACACAAACATGAATCCTTCATTAGTGTAGATATTTGGGCAGACTACTGAGACTGTAAAACCTAAATATCACTTTTGAAATATCATAGTTACTTACACACATTTTTCCCCATCCCCAATAAGAATATCTTGAATATTTTAAACTAGTTAATACAACACCATTCTGTCATTAGTTAGCACATAATCAAATCTGTAAAAGGATTTTAAGAATACAAAGAAACCTAGTTTGCTAAAATGAGGCATCCTCTATGTTTTATGTAATGTACCCTGACTGCTCCTGAGTAAGAACGGAGCTCGTCCTCCATGAGATAAGGCTAGATCCTCACTGTTGGTGAGACCAAATTCTACCCTTAGAAAATCCCAAATGAAATTACAGCAAAGGTAGTGTAACAAAGTAATTAACTGAAGCATTTTTGAAGGTAGTATGTATACCTTTTCCACCTCTTTCCTCTCTGGGTGAGCACTGAATAGACTGCTACTTTACTAAGTAAATTTAATAGTGAGAAGAAAATGATAAAATGTAAATTGGCCCAAATGATTACTTATTGTTGGATAACCAAATTTCTTGAGTTCAAAGAGTTCATTATTCTTCTTATGGGTTTTTTCTTTAGTTTAATCCTTCCATTAGTTGAATCTTAGAAGTAAAAATGTAAAAATTTTATAAGATGGCTTTCCAATTTGCAAAGATTAAAGCTCCCAGTATGACAGAGGTGGTTTCTAAGGGGCTTTTTCCCTTCTTTAAAAAAAAAAAAAAAATAATAATAATAATAAAGGCAAATATAACTTAACAGGGAAAAAACACAACAACAATAAAAAATGAAAGAAAAGCATGCAGGCTCTACAGGCAAGGAGTCCACTTCCATGTATTTGTGTTCTCTGTGAGGTAACTCAATTCTCTTTTGTAGAGAAACATGCAAAAGGCCAAACAATATTCCGAGCCATACTGCACATGGAAATTTTAAAATACGCACATTCTGAATGCACCTTTCATCTCTGTGCACACAAATCAATGCAAAATCTGCAAAGAAACAAGTGTCACAGTAAATGAAGTTAGGTGCAAGCAATGATAGCTAAACAATGCAGTAGTGCTCACCCAGTTTGTACAGTAATTGGCACTCTACAGTATTCCTACTCATTTTTTGATTCATTTGCACTTTGTGCTGCCTCTCCCTGGGGATCTAATTCAATCTTTACAGAAACATCTGGCCCCTCCGACCTCATTAATTTCATCTTTTTCTTTGGAGGGTTTTTCAAAGTGCCCAGCCTCTCCTTTACTTTGTACTCCAGTGTACTGTGGGGAATCCCATAAATACTCTGAGCTTTGGAAACACTCATTTTTCCACTCATAACAACTGAGATTGCTTCCTCCAGTATCTCACTGTTGTACTGTCTGTAACGCCCTCTTTTCTTCCGAGGCTGCTTGGAGCCAGGGTCTCCTTCTTGATCCGATGTGGGATATGGCTGTCCAGAGGTAGACTGCTCAGCATCTGAGCCCCAAGAATCAGGTCCAGCATCTAGTATGCTTTTTCTATTTTGTTTTGGAAGAATAGCCCTTAATTTTTTACTAAGCGCGCTCTCCGTTTGTGAACCCATTACCAAAGAGCTATAGCTGTACTGATCACCAGTGCGAGACTCCCAAGAAAGATCCATTCCTCGAACTTGTGGTATCTTTAAATCTACAGGAGATGAATGGCTCGCATCCTTTTTTCCATCTTGTTTTGTCTGAAGTGCCATTTTTGGAAAGGCAGAATTTTCTGCAAGAAAAGGAAGGTCACTGATGTTGCTGAGTGCACCATTTCCCCTGAATTTCATACGGCTGAGGTTGAATTCATAATGTGGTTTCGCCCAAGAGGCTTCCCTGGATAATATTAAGTGTTGTCCATGATTCTGTAATCCAGATGGCCCAAGGCTGGCAGCTGTGGACAATTGGTTTCTGCTCAGTAGTTCTTCACTAATCTGCAGAGATCGAGCCAGTGGAACTTTGAGTGATGTGGAGTGTCCAAAACCTTCCCTGGTTCCATCCTGTAAGCTTCTTGGAGGTACCCCATCACCACTCCGAAGTCCGTCTGGGCGGTACTGGCTGGGTCTCCCAGGTCGCCTAATTGGATGGAAGGAAACTGATGTGAGCAGGACTTGCACAGGTAGGGAGGGATGGGTGAGGGGACCACTCCTTTATTAGAAGGCCTTGCTTGGGTAACATCACTTTGTGTTTATTTATTTATTTTCTCTAAAATTTAAAAGAAAAAAAAAAAGGTCTCAGCAGTTAGTTTTAAAACTTGTTCACAAAAAACGAAAAAGGAAAAAAGAAAAAAAGGAAAAATAAAAACAGGAGCTTTTTGGGCAAAGAAAAATTAAACCTGTCAGCTGGTCTCTGGTTGGGTTCACAAATTTTCGGAGAAAAAGTTTCGCGCAACTGTTTGAAAATAGCACCTAATTATTAATTACAAAGTAATCATCAGTCTCCATATTTCTACACAGAATTGTGCTACCAATGTGACGTTACCACTAAACAAGTACAGTAATAAAAGAGTAAGCCAAATTACTTATTTTAATGCAACATACTCAACATTCATGACAACCAGCTGCAAAACTGGAACCATGTACATTGGTGGAACCCATGGATGTAACTGCTCATTTGTCCCATAAACAAGTTGATATTCATTATCAAAAATCAAACAACTCCAAATAGCATTCCTTATTTTGCTTGGGGGAAAATATATGGCTGCCAGCCAAAAATTAAAAACAAAACCAAAAAACTCATTGCATTGTAACTTACCATACTTCATTTTAAAACTCTATCAGCTGCAGATACATGAGTACCACTGATTCTGCATTTAAAATAGTCTAAGCTTAAAAGAAATTACTCTTTATTTTCTCCAGAACTTTGTTCCTTATGTTCTAGTCAAATTAATTACCACCAGAAATATTTAAACCATTTTGTAGTAGTTTTCTTTGGTTAAAAAACCAATATTCTTGAAATACCAAGCATCTATTTTGATATTTTAAGTGGATAGCTTTCAAATAATGTCCACACAAAGCTAATTCACAGGTTTTGATTTTCACAATACAGAGAGATTATCAATATTAAGATTGGCAACTGGCAAAGCATGCCCAAGGGGAATGATTACATTAACTAGGTACAAAAGTGAATTCTGCATTAATAATGGTAAACCACATATGTTCTCCTTGAATCTACAGGGATTCTGTGCTGCCATAGTAAGTAACACAGTAAGGGTAGGAACTGAATATTCAATTAAAATATGGGCAATACTGTTGATTTATTTGTCTTCCATGAAACAAAACTATATAGAATACACTTTCCATTGAGAGAGATTAAACACAGCAACTTCAACCATATAATACATGGACCTGGGGGCCAAGTTGGTGCCGCATGGCCTAAGGCTAACCAGAAGGCTGGTGGTTCAAACCCAACAGCCGCTCTGTGGAAAGAAGATGGGGCAATCTACTTCTGTAAAGATTTACTGCTTCAGAAACCCAATGGGGGTCACAGTGAGTCAGAATCAACTTCATGGCAGTGGGTTTGGTTTGGTTTTGGAAGGAAGAGAGTCATTTACGCAAACCACATTTGGGTTTCTCCTGCATGTCTTTAATTACACAACTTAAATGAAAAATAGTAAAATTATATATATATATATATGAATGGAACCCAATGATTTGGGACCATGCTGACTTATACATAGTATAAATTATAGTAAAAAGAAGGTCTTAAAAAAATGTTAGTAAACTATGCAAAGCAGATTATATTAAGTTATTTTTAGATGGAAAAAAAGGAGGGGAGGAAAAGAAAAATGATGAAATTTTAGAGAAAATAAAGGGAGTATTTTAGAAGTCAGTAAATTTGAAGGTAATTACGAGTAAGTTAGAAAAGGTCCACTTAGTGTCTACCTGTTACTTGAGTATCTTGATAATTCCCCAAGTTTATATTCTGAAAGTTAAATAAACCTAAATATCAACTAATTTAGACCTACTGAAGCTATTTTTCATATATAGATGAAGTTGATTTTTGGTCAGAACAAAGTTATATGGAAATGCTTTCCCAATATGACTTCTAAGTATCTTCAGTACCTGACTTTTCTAAATGGTTACATTGCACACACATAGGGAGTAGACAATTCTTATACTGTAAATTAGGTGGTCAGAGAATTCACTTAAATCTTCTTTGAGGTACCAAAATTGAGCATGTAATAATTTCCTAGAAGCATAAGATACCCACCCATCAACATCTACAACCATCTTTCCTATTAGAAAACAAACAAAAAAACATATAATTGCATTTTCTGAACTGCAATACAAAGTTAAAATTGCAGTTCAAATCAACAAACAAAACCAAACCAAAAACAAATAAGCACACACAGACACATACATATCACTAGAGATACCAAGATAAATTCTGGAATTCAATTTTCATTCTAGTACCTCAGTACACACAATATTATTGCCTTTATAATCTTTAGTTTGGAATTATTCGGCTAGGGTTTCACACTCCAAAGCACTCAACAATAAAAAGTCCAAAGACATAGTCTTGCCATATTCATGATTTTTTTTTACTATTTGTCCTAAACTGGGAAAACTGATCTATACTAGCCAATTTTAGATTGTACAGATTACACTTTTACTTGATAGACTAAACGTCATTTTACAAAAGCCCCACTGATGAGACTACTACTCTGAGGGGTTAATTATTAAAATATACAAGGGAAACTATCATCAATCTTTGATAAATTATCTATATAAAATTATGGAAGGCTACAAATATTTTCCCTTACCCGTTCCCTTGAGTACTGGAGCAGCCTGGAGAATGGCTCAGGGAAGTGCTGCCAGCACATGGACTTTTCTTAGTGGACAGATCAAGTACACCGTCTGTAGAGACACAAAGGAACACCTGAAGATATTAAAAACTAGGAGCAAATATGAACTGTGTAGACTAAAACTGAAAAAGGATGTCTAATCAACTGAACATATATACTAGCCACATATATATTTGAGTTATTAAATCAGTTCATGTAATAAAATTAGTGTAATTTTTCCTCTTGAAGCTATATAAATTTAGCAAAGTATATTATGTCAAATATCACCAACAGTTAAATATTTTATTAATAGGGAAAAAAGAAAAGGTAAAGCAGATCACAGGAAATGTTGAGACTGAGTGAGGTATCAGAAATACCAGTTCATACTGTGTGAGGTTCTACACTACAACTACTAGGCTTCACTTTCTAAATTTAGCTTGATCAAAGCATGTGAGTTTCAATGTCCTACACGATGCCATACAAACTATAAAACCAGTACCACCAAAACTACATAAAGTTTGATTTTGAATAAATTACATCTATATACTGTATAATACAGTTGCTGTTTATAATTTGGGTGGGTCCTAATTCCTCTTCTGGCACTTTGCCAAAAAATTGTATATTTGGTATCAGTCTTTTGAAGAAATCTGCAGAGATTCAAAATTCACCGGAGAAAATTTCAAAGGCAAGGTTTTTCCATTAATAAGGTATCACAAAATGGGGGCCAAGTTTAGGGGAAAAAAGCAGAATGAAACAGTCTTGATAATGGTAAGTGCCTGGAGGTATAACCATTTTTTTTTTTTATTGAAGCTAGACCAAATCACAAATTCATGTTACTAATATATAAAATTAGAAGACCACTTTTCCCTCAAAGACTTTCTTTTCCCTTAGACATACCTAGAAATCTCATAGTCTAGACTTTTATAGCTGCCGTTCTTTCCAAAATTAACAGAGCAAAACAATATTCAACACATGTAATTTTCTGGTGGCCAGCAGAGAGGTTGTACTATTTAGTTATGTTAAAAATTGCCTGAGTGTGGAACCTATTCATGACTTGGGTTTGAGAACACTGTAATTCCCTATTTCAGGCTGTTAGAAATACATATGCTCTAAGTTTTTGTAGACAGACAAGACAAACAAAGCCCACATTCACATAGATCTAAATTTTGTTCCTTAGAGTCACTGATATTTCTAAAAATAAAACTATCATCTTACTGTAACAAGTACCTTACCCAATTAGACATCTAACACACAAATGCACCACTTAAAAGTTTTTTAACCAAAGACAGTATTATTTAAAGGCTTTTAAGTCTATCTCATAAAATAGGCAACATATTTTGTCTACCAATAAAAATTGTAATTAAGGTTGAAAACACACTAAAATTCATGAAAGAAATGTAGTTTTAACATTTTTGTTTCATTTGTAGCCCATTCACTATACTCTCATCATCTAATTAAAATTTCTCTTAGTGAGGGCATGCTGTTAATAAATATCCCTCTTAATCATAACACTAGTGATAGAAAGTTAAATTATACTAAATGGCTTCTTTAGAGTTATCCTCCATTATTAATAAAACTAGCCTTCATATATCCTCTATGCTGTTGTTCTCCTATTGTAAACTTGAAGCTTTTAATGTAGTATGTGTAGCCATTACATTTTTTAATGAATAACTATGAATTTGTGTGTATGTATGTGGGTGAATCCCCAATAAGATCGAAAAGACATAACTTTGCAAACATGGTAATCAAAGGTATATAGATCAATGTGAATGAAATTGGACAAGTAGATCTCCCATGAGGAAATCTCTCGAACTTTTGATTTTGTTTGTTGACACAGAGACAGGAAAAAAGCAAAGGAAAACTACACAAAGAATATATTCTTTAGTTAGCAACTAAAGCCAGTCCATTAAATGTTAAGCCCTTCATAAATTACTTAGGCTAAGAAAGTCTTTTAAAGAAGTTCTTTTAAAAATTAAATTTATTTACTTTCCAAAATATTTCTCACCAATAAATCCACACATCTCATAGCCTCTCTGCATACCCTTATGAAATTTCTACAACAATAAAACCTAATCAGTACAGATTACCAATTTATATAATTTGTAATGGTTCAAACAATGGCTGTGCCGAAATGCTCCATTTATCTTTGTGAAATTAAAGATAAAAAGATCACAAAGCAAAAGGAGTAATCTATTTAAGAGAATAAACAAGAAACATTTGCTAACCTATTCAACTTAATTAGGATCCTCACCAACAATTTTTTTTCCTTGGAAATACTCTAAAGTTAGTTCATAATACTTTGTGTGCTTGTGTATCATGTGTTTGTGTATTTATAAAATATGGAGTAAACTTAAAATTTACTTAATTCCCAAATTACCAGCCAAACTGCAAGTAGCCCCCTAATTACGAATGTCCAACTCACAGATAACTTGTGCAGGCATACCTCATTTATTGTGCTTTGCAGATACTGTATTTTTTATAACTGAAAGTTTGTGGCAACCCTGCATTGAGCAAGTCTATTGGTGCTACTGTTCCAAGAGTGGTCACTTCATGTCTCTGTGTCACATCTTGGTAATCCTCACAATATTTCAAACTTTTTCATAATGTTACTGCATACTTACTAGACAACAGAATAGTATAAACATAACTTTTATATGCACTGGGAAACCAAAACATCCATCTGGCTCATTTTATTGTGATAAATGCTTTACTGCAGTGGTCTGGAAGCAAACCTGCCCTGTCTGTGAGTTAATGCCTATGCCTGCTCTTCAGTGTTGTGTTAATTTGCTGTCACTTTACAATGACTCAGCCAACCTTTGTTCACAACAAATTCTTCATCTGCACATGCAGCTTTTAAATCACTGAAAAGGTGTGGAGCCTTTTCTTACACTAAAGTAAGGTGTTAAAAGCATCTGTTCTGACTTACCTATAAATTTGACTTAAAGATACACTTAAAATTGATCTCATTCATGACACGGGAACTGCCTATATTTCAAACTTAATCTAAAGTGTGTTCTATTGCGTTCTTCTCATTTAAAGATTTCTAACTCTAATAAGTTTTTTAAAAATGCAAATAATAAATAATTTTGCTTTATGACCTTACTTGCAGAGTATAACTTCTACCTAACAAGTAAAAGCAGGCTTATTTCTCAGACAGATGCTAATCTCAGACCACTGATGGATAAGGGGGAAACTTAATTGTTGATGGGTAAGGTAACCACTTTATCTGTGCTTCTCCATCACTGCATAGTCAGGAATAATTTAAAAATCACATTAGTTTTCATCTTATTGCTGCTGCTGCCCTACTTGCCAATAATTCTTTTTCTCTCCAAATTAAAGTATTCTGATTGGATAGAGGAGACCTTGACATCAAACCATACCTTGTTCGCTAGGTTCTGACTGAGACTTTCTGACAGTAAGGTCCAGAGGTGAGTCTTGGTCAGCCATGAGAAGTTTGCTGAGCACAGGGTTCTGAGTAGTTGCAGCCGTGGGACAGGTGGTGACTGGAGATGCTTTCGGCAGGCTTTGGTTCTTTGTGCTATTGGGCTGGCTGGGGTCCTGAGTAGAGCTATTTTTTGAGGTATATTCAGCAGCAAATTGTTGGATCATTCGCTGCATGATCTCACGGGCCACTAAGGGAATATTGGGGTCGGAGACCCAGGGACTGTCTGTAAACAAAGATTTATTTACTTTTAAAGTGGGACAATGTACTAAAAAAGACAGCTTTCAATAAAACATAAAATTTCATTTTTTTCCTTAAAATGCAATATCCTAAAAATAGTGTTCCCTCTTTGAATTATATTTTTAATTTCTAAGCTTATGAGTTGCAAGTTTTCAAATAGCAAATTTTCATTAAAAAATTTCTAAACATTTTCTCCCAGGATTATGAAATTAAATAAAGGGAAAACAAATAGTGTATCTTATGGGCAAGCATCACTTACCTGATACAGAAATCCCAAAACCTTTCTCTTATGAAATAACTACTCTCCCAGTTTACCACCTACAGAGCACATCAGGTTCCCCCTAGATTATTCCTCGGCCATGTCTCCTAATTTTAAAATAAAGGCCATCTGATTTCACTGACTCACAACTTTTAGCACTAGAAGGGATCATATAAGTCAAATAGGATAAAAGCAAAGGGGAAAGAAATATTTTGTATAAATAAAAATATTATTAACATCATGACTATCGTCACCACACTGTAACAGTCTACCAGGCAGACTAAGTTCCCTGAGAGTAGAGACTGTGTTTGTTTCCTGTGTATACTGAGCATTTAATCTTGCCTGATGTAAAGTACACATTCTTGGGTAATAAACAGATGAATCAATCACAATTTTCTTCTTTTTTACAAATGAGGAAAATGTAATCTAAAAAGTAACCTGTTCAAGTTCGTATAGATGGTTAGTTGTAGACCTTTGATTAGAATTTGTCTCCTGATCTTAGTGCTTTATCTGTGACCTTCACTCCCACTGTACTTCTCAAGACAGTTGTAGACGATCAATAAACCCACTGCCCATTGCTGTGGAGTCTATTCTGACTCATAGCAGCCCTCATAGAATTTCTAATGCTGTAATCTTTACGGAAGCAGACTGCTACATCTTTCTCTCAGAAAAGCTTTGTTTCCTTAGTCTTTTAAAGATTAAGCATAAAAGGCAATTTAACTTTACCCATAGTGTTTTGGATCTAAAAGAACTTTAAGAAGTTGATTTATAAATTTAATGAAAGACTGAATCCTATTACTACTAAAATCTAAAATCTCCACAAACAAACAAAAATGACATCAGAACCTCACAAGACACCTAAGAATAAATTTTCCCCTCTGAAAGGCAATATTCAGTACCAGGAAATTCCCATAAAGAGTCAGAAAATTTACTTAATTCTCTGGAGTTTAACAAGGTTTGCGCTACCAAAAGTCATTTCTGTTCTATTAAGAAGTATTTATCACTCTATATGTCCTCTCTATAAATAGAAACTATGATTATTCTAGAGGATCTAAGAATAATGGTATTCAATTAGGTAAAATTTAGAAGTTCCTACAATCACTAGGAGCTCTGGTAGCATAGTGCCTAAAGCACTTAACCACTCACCAGAAGGCTGGCGGTTCAAACCCACCAGCCACTCCTTGGAAGGAAGGTTGGGCAATCCTACTTCTGTAGTGATACTGCCTCGGAAACCCAAGGAGGGGTCACTATGAGTCGGGGTTGACTCGACGGCAAACAACAACAACAACAACAATCACTGGCAATGGTTCCTTAAATGTTTTAATAAACATTCTAGCCATATATTGCTTTATAAAATCTGTACTCACTGGATTTCCTTATCAATATTCACTTATTTTTCAGTTAAGATGCATTTTTTTAAAAATAAATAGCATATAATCTTCCATTAGGAAGTTTGCATTTAAGTGTATAGAAGATTGTATATAATTTTAAGTTTTAATATATTAGTGCATTTTTTTTACCCCGTAACATTGGGGAATATATAAAATACAAAGAAGAAAGTTGCTGCCAAATAGGAAGCAAAATGAAGTAATTTGAGATGTCTCTATGTGAAACTAAATTAATAAATAAAATTGAAAAGCATTTTAAGAGTCAAAAGATTTTTAGAATAAAGATCATAATTTGCTAACTTTGAGTTTTTCATGACTGTAGCATATTTTGCCTCTTTGCTGAATGAGTGACTAAGATAATCGTGAAACAAAATACATTAAATGTTTACAAATCAGAGGACATCCCTGCCACTTGAAGGTGTTATGTCTTCTCTGAAAGTTTCTTGAACAGTTCATCCTTTCACTTAAACAAAACATCATAAATGTACCTATGCCTAGGGGAACACACATAACTGAGTCAAATAAAAGCTACAAATCTCACAAAAATTACAACTATAGTAAAGCATCTAACTACTATATCACAGCCACTATATATTTTAAAACACAAATCTAATATTTAGAAAACTGTCAAATTTTCAAACAGAAGTGACAAAGCAGGCTAAAGAAAAGAGTGATTATAACAGCTATAGAAGGCATAGTATTTTCAAATCGGAATTTATTATATAGTGCATACCACAAAAGCCTACCTTTACTTTTTTATCTATGTTCCTACTTCACTACATAACCTTTGCATACTTAAAGTATTCAGTTTACAATACTTGGAAACAAAACACTAAATTTAAGCATCTGATTTATTTTTAAAAAACAAAATATCCTCTTCAGACTAAACTGCCTGTCATACATATCCCTGGATCGTGAACATTTCTGGTATTAACCTGAAGGGTACTGACAGCCATCTTTGAGATATCTCCAAGACTGATAAAGTATCTAAAAATAACATTAGTATAAACCTTCAATTCCAAAACAGCAGCTCTTTTTCCGAGCATCAGATGCCAATTTACAGACACATACACACTTAACTTTACATACAATTTCAGGGGATTCATATCCTCTTGGAGTCCATCCTAAAACCAATTCCAAGGTAAAAACACTTTCTCTATATGATATATACCCCAAAGTTTAATTTTTAAATAAGAAAATTTGTAAGAACATTAATGTAACACCTTCATGACAAAATAATGAGACTATAATAGAGATGTAGGATAGAATTTCTCTTTGGGAATCTGGCTTATGATTGACCTTGTTAATTCTCTTTATGCAAAGAGAGGATGAAAAGTGGTTCCTCCATGTAAATTAGGGGGAAAAGTTCTTCTTTTCAGATAATGAAGCTTGCTATAGCAACACATCATCAGACCCATGACTTAACACACATTCTAAAGGAGAAGAGTTGAAAAGAGATTTTATTTGGTTAATGAACTAGTAATAGAATTGCTCTGTCATTTATACTTTAACTGTGAATTGCTTTAGTCAAACAATCACATATTCATAAAACTAACCATGAAAATAAGTATTCTGGATACAATTTTGGAATTCAAGATGCTTTATGGAGATAAGCTGAGCATGAGAGAGCCTAGGCTGGGAACTTTACAGTCAGAGAGTGCTAAATGGTATTAAAAAAAAGAACTGAAAGTGTACTAAAAGATTTAATTTTGGTTAGAGATCTAAAGGGAGCTCTGGTAGTGTAGTACCTAAGGCAACTCACTGCTAACCAGAAGGCTGGCAGTTCAAACCCACCAGCCACTCCTCGGAAGAAGATTGGGTAATCTATATCCGTAGGAATACCATCTCAGAAACCCAAGGAGGGGTTGCTATAAGTTGAGAACAACTCAACAGCAGTGAGTTTGGTTTTATAGATCTAAAGGAACTATGTACCACTGGAAAAAAAAAAATCTCTGTGCATTCCTTAATTTTGTATGACACCTCACCTCCTACTGAACTCAAATATAGCAAATATAGGAAGAAATATTAAAGAAAGTGGAATCGTTTAGTCTGCTGGAAACGTTTTTAGAATGTATCATCATAGTAACCTCTGTGTTGGAACTAGAGGAATGATGGACCCAAGGAACACAAGCCCATTCAGAAATAGTTTCTTTGAAATAAAGATTCTCACTAGAATGGATCATAAGAAGGGAAGGTTGTCTTGGCTTCTGGAAATTGTGCTGCATGGGTAGGGAACAGAACTAAATGTCTCTGTGAAGAATTTCTAAACCTCAACACTTATGATAGAAGAACTTCCCTATTTTATGTTTATATGCATTTATATTCTGAAAGAAACATAAAACAAGCCTAAAAAAGTTTCAGAAAGATAAAATGAAAAATACAAGAAGCTGAATTATTAAATGTCACCTGAAATGTAAGGGAGTAAGTTGTATTATATAATAATGAGATTGTTTCACTAATCTTATTAAGTGAAATAATCAATAATTAAGTAAATAATAGTTAAAAATTAATAAATAATTACGTGAAACAAGACTATACAAAGAAAAAAAAAATGCTTGGAATTCTAATTTCAAGACTTAAAATTTATATTTATCTCTAAATGATGTACCACTGAGTAATTATTAAAATTTTACACAGCTAGCTCTGGTGGCACAGTGCCTAAGGCATATGACTGCTAACCAGAAGGCTGCGGCTCAAACCCACCAGCCACTCTACAGAAAAAAGATGGGGCAATCTATTGCCATAAAGATTTATTGCCTTGGAAACCCAATGGGGGTTACTATGAGTCAGAACAGACTCGATGGCAGGGGGCTTAGTTATCAGTAATTAAACAGTGCTTATGTATATATAAAAAATTTGTCTAACAAAATAAGGACATGCTAAAACCTTACAATTTTCACAACAAGTTTCTGAATTATTTAATAAAAACTTATATGGCACCATCACTTCAGAACAAAAAAAAAGAGGGGGTGGACAAAGTTTGCCTTACTCTATCCCAAATTTAATTTGATGAAAGATTGGAGATATACAGAAATATAAAGTGAATTACCAAAAAATATATATATTTAAAAGTAACTCTTTTATAAAAATGACATTTAAATTTAAGGTTATTAATATAAGACAAGCAGATGCTAAATGTCATTCTTTACTGAAACCAACCTTTTCTATAAAAGACTGCATTGAGGAACTCTTCTGCTTGTCTCTCGAATCGAATGATTTTTGCTTGCTCTTGTTTAAGCAGAGCTTCTTGCCCAGCTCCCGAAGCTGGTTCATCCAGACCGACTAAATGTCCCTGTAAAAATATTTGGTAAAATAGTTGCACAAAAAGTCTTTCCCCACTCAATAACCAAAAGCAAAGATGCATAATCAAGATAAAGTTTAATTAAAACAGATAAAACAAATTAGTTTTATACAATTTAAACTATTTAAAAACTTTAATTCAGGATAAAAATATATCTCCACAAAAGTACAAAAACAAAATGAGTATAAACATATACTTTAGATGGTTTTAAAATCATGTTTTAAAAATTATGGTTTAATTAGACTGTAAATGCCAAAGGGAAACTTTCCTTGAGTATTCAAGTATAGTGGTTTTCATTATACTTTAGCAATAGCTCACTGACAATTCAGACCGAATGCTTTTTTTAAATAATAAAAGAAACCTTAAATCCCAAATTTCATTTGACTTGAAGAGATCATGTTTGTCCTCTGAGATCTATTTTTTCCAGACACAAAATACAAACATTTCTAAAAGGCTATTAGGAAAGAAAATTCAAAACCAATACATCTGAACTTATAATTCTGTCCCTAGGTTACTGTTCTGGAAAACTATGGCTCTCAAACTCTTGGTGGGTATTGAAACTGATTTACTAGATTAAAAGTAGTATTAACGCGCTGCCATTGAGTCGGATCCAACTCATAGCAACCCCTCCTTGGGTTTCTGAGGCAGTATCATTAAAGTAGATTGCTCAAACTTCCTTCCGAGGAGTGGCTGGTAGGTTTGAACCTCCAGCCTTCTGGTTAGCAGTCAAATGCCTTAGGCACTATACCACCAGAGCTCCCAAAAGTAGTATTAGAGAAGAAAAAAGGGGCACGTGGTAAAGGTAAATTATTTCAGTGTTCCCTGTTACAGTTACATATACATATGTATGCTTGGACGTGTCCACAATACGAAATTTGAGTCCTGATCAAGAATTTCAAGATGCTACACTAGACTTGTGTAGATGCTACACAAGATCCCAGAGACTTCCATCATCTGCTCCCAGACTGCAGGAGAACTGGACTGTGACACTGCTTTCCACTTTGTGAAACCACCTGTGAAACCCAAAGAGGGGTTGTTAAGAGTCGGATCAGACTTGATGGCAATGAGTTTGGTTTTTATTTTTTTTTGGCTATTCTTGCAGCTAAGGAATAATCGGGAGACTAACCACAGAGGTTAGAGTAAAATTAAAATGTAAAACAAAGTGCATCTTTTAGGGGTTCTTTAAGTTCCAATGCATATAATTTACTTAAAATCACTGAAGTGTAGCAACACTTGCATTTACTTTTAGGATCACAGAAAAAATTAAAAGTATTTTAAATAAGAAATGTGAACACACATCAGCACAACAAAAAGGATGTAAGAAAGATACTAAAAGGAGGTTATATAATCCACAAATTACGTTCTCCAAGATTTTAAATATACTCAAATATATTTGCAACTATTTAGGACTTCCACACCACCCAAACTGTTATTTTCTTGTCAACAGCACAATCAAATTATTTATTTTGCAAAGACACACTTTTTTTTTTTTTTTTTAAGATGGAGAACTCTCTTGAATACTGAAATTAAAACAATCATCCATTAACATTTCTATATATGACACAATGAATTGGCCACAGAATTTCTTGGGTTTTTTTGGTCACCTGCTTTGTGGTAGTCTCTCCCTGACTTCCCTGGACAGTCTACTGTTTCTTTCCGTAACACCCCAGTCCTTGCATGCATCCTGAACGTATTCTCTTCTTGCACTGCAATGATCTTGCACCTCACAGTCTCTTCAAATAGAACAAATAAATAGAAAGAGAAACTCCCCCAGGACAGGCACCACGCTTTTTTAAATGTTTGTTGCCTGGCATGGTACAGGGCTTGGCTCAAAGGAGCTCTAAGTAGTTATTAGCTGAATGAAAGCTTGTATATCTTTTATCACCTTTTAGTATTCTCTTCACTCACTGAGTGTTTAATTTACTGAATTCTTGCCATTGTAGATGAAGGCTGTTTTCCCATACCATTATCCACCAACTCCAGCCCTGTACTTTCCCTTCTTCTTTTTTTTTTTTCCTCATCACCTAAGTTAACATGTGTCAACTCTATAAAAATTTTTTAAGCAAAGTATTTTCAATGTTATAATGATCTATTACAAGAAACTTTACTGTAGCTATGCTTGCCAACTTTCTCTTTTATAGACTAAAGGAGCTATTACAAAAATAATTTTTAACAATGAGTCACAAATAAAATAACAGTCATTAATTAAATAGCCAGGAGCTCTGGTAGTGTAGTGCCTAAGGCACTTGACTGCTAACCAGAAGGCTGGCGGTTCAAACCCACCAGCTATTCCTCAGAAGGAAGGTTGGGCAATCTATTTCCCTAGTGATACTGCCTCAGAAACCCAAGGAGGGGTCGTTATGAGTAGGGACTGACTTGTTATGAGTAGGGACTGACTTGATGGCACATAACAACAACAAAAACAATTAAACAGCCCAGTAAATCCTCAATTGTATTATACTTTGGTGCTATTTCATTGATCTTAAAAAATCACACATTATGTGGCATGAACTGCAGTTAAGTAATTACTCCTATTCAATCAGTTTAAGAAAGACTTCTGCAAACAAAGTATCTATATTTAAACTTGGTTTAATGTATCATTCAGGATATCTTTCAACCTAAAGCAACTCAGAGCAATTAAGCTAGCAGTCTAGTAGGCAGTTATTACATACTTTCTTGAATCAAACCAGTTGTACAACCTGGACTCAGAAATACACACCACTACTTTGCCTGTTTATATCAATTATGGTCATATCTATTTCCTGCTGATGTTTTTTAAAATAGCTCTACTGAGATATAACTCATATAACATACAATTAAACTATTGTAAAGTGTAAAAACTGTAATTTTTAGTATATTCACAGAGAAGATCACCACAATCTAAATTTAGATCATCTTCATACCTCAAAAAGAAATTCTGTGCTCATTAACAGTTAATCCCCATTTCCCCATCCACCACAACCATCAAAAAGCCAAAACGAAATCTACTGCCACTGAGTCGATTCTGACTCATAGTGACCCTACAGGACAGTGCAGAAGTGCCCCATAGGGTTTCCAAGGCTGTAAATCTTTATAGAAGCAGACTGCTA